TCAGAGTGGTCGGCGGCATCTTGGGGTCTCGGCAGCCCGAGGGCCTGCTCCGGCCCCGGGCGGAGCCACGCAGTGCCGTGTGCCCAAGTGGGGGGGCCCTTGTGCCTCGGTGGGGCCTGTGGTCAGACGGGGCCCGCGCGCCCAGGTGGGGTGAGCCTGACGGCTGCGCCTCGCTCGGCCAAGGGTCGGGGGCTGGCCCCGCTGCGAGTGGGAGCTGCTGGTGGCCGCGGGGAGCATTTCCAATTGGCGAGGTGACTTAGAATCCCCGTGTGGGACCTGCTTGGCTAGCTCTCCTGTCGGGATTGTGCAAGAAAGGCCCCTGCTGCCTGGAGGCCCTGCCTCGTGCTGGTGGGGAGATGTTTCCTTTGAAATGCGATGTCTGTTAAACTTCTTTTTTTCATTCTCACTCACTCATTGTCTCCTTCCTTTTTACCAGATAAGTCCGGTTTCTTCTGTGGAGGGTACGCGGTTACAGCCTTGATTTCCTGGATCTGGTAACATGGCAAAAGATGTAAGTATGATTGCTTCGCGCTGCAGACATGTTAGCCTGGTGTGGTTGCAGTTTTCGCTCCGTTTCCGAGCGGCCGTCCCTGCACGGCCGTGCCTCGTTTCACACGCAGGAACTGGGGTGGAGGTGAGGGATGGAGGGCCAGTGGGTGGATGCCTCCCCCTGCACAAGTGATCTCTGTCATCTGAAGCCTGACACGTTATTTGTGGTTGGATGATGCTGTCTTGATTTTCCCTTAATCTAGCTAGACTGTTTAAATAAATAAATTTAAAAAAAAAATATGAATACAACTCTCAGTTAAAATGAATGTGTGAAGGGGTTGTTGTGTGTTAGTGGGTTTCCATACAGGAGAGCTGTCAACATGGAACTTACACAGTACTTGTTTTTTTTTTTGTAATATGGAGGGCCATAATTCAGCTTTGATGGATTGAATATCAACTACTTGTTTGGGCACATTTTTCTCAGAAAGCTGCCATTTGGTGATTAATGACACACGGTGGAAATGCTGGTTGGTTTAGCTTTATATTTATCGTGAAGTTACTGGATATTTTGAATAACTTTTTTTTTTTTTGAAACAGGTATGGAGAGTTAGGCTCTTAGTCTGAAAAATACAGTCTGTAGTGCTGGTCACATACATTTTTTGCAATATCATTTTACCTCCTTCCAGCACGAATTGTCTCCTTTTCAGCGTTTCTCAGCGCTCACTGCTCTGTGACTGTTAGATTTCTGACTTTTTCCACGCAGCCTCAGAAATACAGGCGGACATGCTGCGTCAGCCAGAGTTGTGTCCAGGTGTTGTGGAGCTGCGTCAGGGGGTGGGGCCAGGGCCAGGGGCTGAGTCCTGTCCACTGACTTGAGGCCCTAAGGACTCAGCTGTGCTTAATGAATGACCCACATGGGTCAGACGGTGCCTCTCTCCCTGACACCAAGCACCGGGCCTGCTCTTGGGAGTCACGTCACACCCTGGGAGACCTTGCAGAGGTCACCTGAAATCACAACCGTGTATGGTGTTGGCTCGATTATGTTGTGTCCAGTTGTGTGTCTGCACCCATGCCCCGACTCTCCTCCATATGTATGCCCTGACACAAGACATGCTGCTCGGCACATGCCCACAGAGTAACCAGACTTGGCAAACGGTTTGTAAATGGGGTACTGGTCCCGTGCGTTTGTGAGGCCATATTACTGGCATGGTATAATTTCAGGGAGCGTTACGTGTTTAGTGAGTCAGCGTGCCCGAGTCTTGTCTTCGTAGATTTGCATTATGAACTCCCCTTTCCATGTGCTGTGTCCCTGGGGGAGGGGGGCGGTTCACTCTGCTGACAGGTGGTCAGGATCTCCCATCACACCAGCTGGTTTGGGGTTCTCCATTGTGGTGTGGCTGGGCTGGTGCTGTGACCGAGTAACAGGGTGCTGAAGCTGAGTCCCACCGCAGGTACTCACAGGCCACAAGTACCCAGGCAGAGGTGAAGTGGTCCTCTCTGTTTTCAGGCTAGAAGCAGAGGTTGTGGGCAGTCAAGGGGTGGGCCTTTTCTGTAGCTCACCATGTTTTTACGTAGGATGTGATGTTTGCATTTCATAAAGGGACTTTGTAGCCTGTGCTGAAGGAAAAGGAAGAGGCACCACTGAAGTTTTCTAAGCACTTGATGCTTAGGATGGAATCTAGTTATAAAGTGTAGCCCGTAGACCCGACACCCGAGAGAGGGGAGGGGAGGAAGTCTAGGTCATTATGGAAGAGGACCAGGAAGGGTAGAGAGAAGACAGAAATAGCTGAGGGGTTTCTGCTCCAGCAGATGCCCAGGCGAGTCGGTCCCCTATGAACTGCAAGCAGTTACCAATAAACAGGATGGGGATGGCAGGAGCTGATTATGTTGACTTGGCAAAGGATTTCTTCCATGAAGGACAAGAAAGCTGATCTGGGAGTGGGCAGGAGAGTAAGGAGTGATGGTGCATGGGATGGTGAGTGACTGCAGGTACTCTGGGATGCCTGCCTCCCTGTGGAAAGCCTGTGTGTAGAATGAGCCTCGATGACCCTGCCCTAGAGGCTGGCGAGGCCTGGTAAGGGGGGTATGTCTTTGAATGTCTTCTCCCAAGGTCAGCCTAAAGCTGCCTGGGGAGTTGTGCTTCTTACTGGGAAGATTGCATTCTTAGACTTGCCCATCAGAAAATTTCACCCTCATAGACATGTCCCGAGGAGTGTTTCCTAGGTGATTATAAATTCGGTCATATCAACAATGCAGATTAACTATCACAAGTCCAACCCGACACCAAACACATTTTAGATCTGAGCGTTCCATCCCTGGACCTTAGAGGCTCATCTCCTAAGGCAAGATGGTTTTATAGTTCATCGACACGAGCCTCAAATCTTAACATTTCTAACATTCTTCAAAACCCTAAAAAACCAAAAACCCTGGCTGTTGAGATGGCTCGCTCACTCGCCAGACCCGACTGCTTGAGTTTGTCCCTGGGACCTGCGTGATGGGAAGAGAGAACTGACTCCGACAAGTTGTCCTCTGATCGCTACATATCCTCTGCACACTCCAGTAGTGCAAGGCCCAAAATTGTGGAGGGTAAACACCAAACCGTGCGACTCCACGTCTGCTATCTTGGGCCTGTGGTGCAGTCCTCTGGGCTGTGGCAGACGTGGGTAGCCTTGCCCCCCTTAGTACCACTGCCTGGAGCACCTGAGGCTTCTTTCTAGGGTCTGCTCCGTTTTGTGCTTGCAGCTTCCCTTGGCAGATGTTCCTTGGTCTGGTCCTGATAGATCCTGTGTCTTGAGATCTCCATTGCAGCTGAGGCTTTACCTTTCCGGCTTCATTCGGTGGCCTCGGCCTCTTCTCAAGGACTTCAACCCTGCCCCTCTTGTATTTTGCATGCCTGCAAAAACCATCCTGCGGACGGTGTCAGGTTCCGCTGCCAGCTTGAGGTAGATGGCCCCTTCCACTAGGGCTGGAGTGACCGTCTGTGTCTTACCAGCTAAACTTGGGAAAATACTTCCCTAAGTAGTTGTTTTCATTTGATGGCATTCTCAGTCTAAGCTCTTTGAAATAAGTTTCCATTTTCTTAAAAAAAAAAAAAAAAAACCCAAAACTAAAAACACTATTTATTATTGTGTGTGTGAGTGTGTATTTGTGCATGTGTACATGCCTGCCATGTTGTGCATAGATACCAGGATATAGATAAATTTGTAGAATTATTTCTCTCCTTGCCTCTTTATGTGGGTTCTGGGGACTGAACTCAGGTTGCCAGACTTGCTTTTCCCTTCTGAACCATCTTGCCATCTGGAGTTGGCATTTTTACCAGTTGGACTTTTCTGTGACTGAGTCTTGCCCTAAGGATTCTTTTCCTATTTTCTCAGTGCAGAGTGTGAGGTTTCCCCTCAGTTACAGATGTTTTGTCCTCATCTTCCTGGCCCTCTATCTTCATGCTCCTTCTCACCGTCTGACTAAGAGCAGTTAGCAGCGACCGTGTGGCAGCCCGGATGCCATGCTGTCTCGAAATCTGCTCCACCAGACAGTTTAGCCCCATTACTTTTGAGTTTGGCCTCCAGTGTTAAGGGCATGACCAAATTGTTTGCCAGAACGTAACACAAGTGGCCTCTAGCTCAGCTCCCAATAGAATCCTTGTTTGTTCCCCTCTGAGACTTCATGAGCCTGGCCTTCAGTGGCCACATTTCCGTGGACATTCTGGTCTTTTTGAATGCCCACCCGAGTGGCCAATAAGTTTTGCTTATAGCATTCCAGGCATTCTTTACACCACAGGCCTGCAAGTCGTGGACCAGGTCGGTCACAGCAATGGCCTGTTCCTCCGTATCAATTTTCTTTTTTTTTTTTTTTTTTTTTTT